TTGCTGTTATGTTAAACTTATATTAAAGTTTTTCTTCATTACCCATTCAAGCCGTCTCCAACCATTATTAATCAGTACGTTTCTCGTCACTTTAAACTTAACAACTTTTATAATACACGCTATAAATCACAGCGACTCACAATCTCGATGAGTGCAAAACACACACTTTACGGCTCACTAGCTCGAAACTAACAGAATCATAAATTACACGGAACTCAAAGTAACTACCGTTACTCTGTTCATTCATATACCCGCTGGCTTTTCCTGTCAGGCTTATATACTAACGAAAAAGGCATCTCGAATACACTCGGACTTCCCCGATCATTCGAGAAACTCATCAGCAGAGTCACGTGACTTCCGCTGTCGTAACAATAGGTTAGACAGCTGTACCAAACGATAGAAGGAAATACACATAATCCATAAACAAAAGTAAAATATAAATTGTTAACTCATGTTGTGATCAATGTATAATAGTCTAGGAAAACAAAACAGAAAGTAAACTATTTCTAATAAACTCGGTGAATACAAAGATCTGAAGTAATATCATTATTTCAAAAAGATATGTTGATATATTTTAGTTGTTTGAAATTCTACTCGCTGTGTCCACAGTATTATCGCAATTTAAATGTTATATTTCATTATATTATTTCTGGACTGTTTTTTGCTCTTATAAGCGAATTCAGAAAATATGGCAGTTTCTATCTCTTTAGCTGTGTAAATTGGAGCATCGAATAGAAACTTTATCTTATGTTATGCTCGATTTAGTATAAGTTACGATAAATACCTTTCAAGTTCATAGACGGCGGTTCGATAAAACTTTCATCTACGAAAGAGCAAAGCACAAAAGTGAAACGAAAATAGGCTTCGTGGTTTACGTTTACTTCTTACCCTTAAATCACAACAAAGAAAACGGTAGTGATATTTTCTTCTTATGTTCATTGTTAGTAACATAATTTAGTGTAAAACTAGATATAATAAACTATAAACATTGTGCAATCAATCTTGTAAGTTAGAACCCAAATTTTACGAACTGGTGCTTCAGAGGCCTGTGACCAGCTATAGTATATAAATTATATTACTAGTACTACTAGATTACTATATTCTCTCTCTCTCTCTCTCTCTATATATATATATATATATATATATATATATATATATAGTAGACGGAACGTAGTATACTACTTACTCGTCGTCGTACGTACTACTCCGTCCGTCGGTACCGTACGACGACGTACGTTACTACTTACG